ATACAGAAATTAAATGATAGAGTTTACCAAAGTAGATTTCAAAACATGACCCAGATATGTTGTCTCTAAGAAACTAATTCCAAATATGATATACTAAACAGTTGAATGTATAAAGGATGTGATAAGATGTAATAAAAGGAGAGCAGAAATGGTCACCATAATAGCAAATAGTCTTAAGAGCAAAGAAAATTACCAGAAACAGAAAATTATAAATCCACTAAGAAACCATAGCAATTCTAAATATGTATGCACTGAATAATATAACTGTCAACTATGTGATGTAAAAAATTAATAGAACTTAAGGAATAAGTAGAAATACATTAGTACATTGTATAAGTCAGAGCTGAAAGAAACAACGGGAAGACTGAATTAATATAGCTTCAGAGGCCTCACTGCGATTAGTCTCTCTAAGTGAGCCCCGAGCCCCAGAAAACTCTCACATTTATTGAAGGCTAAAAGAAGACTAAGGAACGTGCATAACTGCTTTTGTGAACACGAAGTACTCTCTCTATTGCCTTCAGGCTTTTGCCTAGCTCTAAGTTTACACAATGCTAGCCGATAACATCCCAAGCAAGGAATCAAAGAACAGACAGGGTGCCAGCAGGAAAAGCTGTTATCTGTATCCTCGTATCCAAGCTTGCCAGAATTTACAAGAGAGACAGCAGTTCTCCTTGGACTGTTTATTGCTCTTTGCTTCCAAGGGACATTCAGGTTCTGCTTCATATCACTATATTTCTATAGTAATACATGGAGACATTAATTCACCTATTTCAACAATTGATAGACCAGATAGAAAGTAAGAAAATGTTTTAAAAACCCTTCCCCCCACCCTTGGTGGAACCAGGGATTGAACTCGGGCCCTTGCACTTGCCAGAGAAGTGCTTATTCCACTGAGCCATCTCCCCGGCCCTTAAAAACTCAATAAGAATAAACAAAAGGATGTAAAAGACAATCGTGGACCATTTAAAAAAAGTATAATACACATTATTTTCAAGTTCTGTTATTTTAACTTTTATAAAGACAAGTCATAGCAGTCATACAGAGTGTGTTCTCTGACTACAACAGAATCAAAGAAGGAATCAATAAATAATGGTAACTATTGAAATCTCAACAGTTAGAAAGTAAACAACATAATTCTACATAGTCCACAGATCAAGGAGCAAGTCGCAAAGAAAAAAAATTTAAATATACATTTCTGAAAAGAGAAGAATCACTATGAGTCTGATCTGTGTAGTGAGACCCTGTATACACTGTACTTAAAAAAAATACATAAACTATACATTTAAGTGAACAAAAATAAAAGCACAACATACCAAAAGTTTGTGAGGCACATCTAAAACAGCATTGAGAGGAGTATTTATAACATGAAATTTATGTATTTAAAAACTCTTAAGTTATTAAACCAACTTTTACTTCAAGAGTTTAGAAAATAATAAAATAAATCCAAAACTAACATTATAAAGAAAAAATAGACAAAAATCAAGGAAATTGTAAGAAAAAATAAAAATTTCTGGGAGGCTGATAATAAAAGATGGTTAATGTTGCCTAGGGATCAATTTATTCCCTTAGTTGTCTAGTGTATCTGCAGCAGTAGTTTCTAGTGGACAACAGCATATGGTACAAAAATCTTGACACTCTGTTCTCAGTCCCACATGTTCAACCAAATGCCTCTGACCCACACTTCATGTCAGCAAGCATCCATTCTTGGACCCCCAGATCAGATGCTAGATCACTGGCTACTGTCTGGGAATACACATAGTCATATCAGTGTACAAGTGGATAACCAGATAGACTGCTCTCAATTCTACTCTTTGCCCTTTCCACAGTTTTAGATTCACCCCAGAACGTAGCTGGTTGTAATATTGCTACCATCCACCATGTTTCACCTCTAAAGTGACAAAGAGCTCTATTATGAGTATACTTCACACTTTGCAGTAAGGGGATTCAGGTTGTACAAAATTTATTTTCTACTTCAGGATGGAGTATCATGGCATATCCCTGACAACTGCACCCCTTAAGAAGTTAAAAAAGTCTTATATGACTCCTAGAACATTCACTGAATATTCAAACTGGTCCCTAAATATTTTTTAAGGTTTATCTCTAATCTTCAGGATCAAATATATTACTAAAGCTTCCAATTGAGTAGCCATTTCTTGGTTCACCTACCTTATCATCATAAGGTTGCTAACATAATATATCAATGTGGACTAATAAAGTGGTCCAGATATCTCTGGGCTATACTGTGATGAAAGGCAGACAGTTAACATACCCCTGAGGCAAAACTTTAAATAAGTAAATATTAACAAAAATGTTAAATATTTAACTTTTAAATTAATCAATGTTTAAATATTTAAATTTTAAATAATTAATGAAATTAATATATCTTCCATATCAGTGAACACATGCAGTGTTCTTTCTTTATAAATAATACCTGTCTAGCATAGCATCTTCAATCAAGGTTACGCTGTAGCTAAGTCAGCAGCAATCTTTTAGGTTTTTAATCTTTGCCATCTTTGACCCATCCCAAGAGTATGATCTTATTTTTTTATTTAATATCTTCACTAGAAGCAATGAGAAAGCTTTAGTCATTTTCAGCTATGTTTCCCTAGTATAACTCAATCTATAGGACAAGTATTCACTGTGGTGTTTACTCTAACTGCTATGTACAAGTTCAAACATATACCTGGGGACTGGGGAATTGAGCAATAGTTATATTTATAAAACTAGTGGGCCTATTATGATCCAGAATTTATTCAAGAAATTATCTGATTTTTAGAGGCCTCCATTTTATTAGAGGTGACAGGATAATGCTTTGCAGCTCTAGCAGTCATTGTAAACTCAGAACTTGTTTCTAGGAAGCCTGGATAGTCCTCTTTTCTCAAATTCTCAAAAAACTGTCCCAAAGTTTATGAATTATTGATTTTTCTACAGATTTACAATTTACCCTGTGATCAAACATCCTCAAAATCTAAACCCTGATATGTCCCTTGTTCATGTCAATAAACATGTAGATAATTCTTAGAGAGCTTTCTTCCCTCCTTTACATGGATCAACACTTTTAGACTTGGGTTACACTGGCACTCAACTGTAGTCATGGCCTGATAGCCAGAAGAGGAGATGAGAATAGCTCCCAAGTACAGAACCTATTTCCTGGAAGAAGGTGGAGCTCTTGCAGCACTTTCAGCACAGAAGAAGAGGGCCACATCTGCAAATTCTCAAAGTCCAGGCAAATATATTTGGATCCTGCCATCACACATTCCAGAGTCTCAGCTTTTTCCCTACCTGGCCCACACTTTATCATAGCAGACTGCCTCAACTGACCTTGCATACAACTCCAAACTTCTGTGCCTCTAGCCATTAGACCACCAGGAAGGACTGGTCTCTGTAAGGAAAAGATGGAAATAAAGAAGTATTGTAGAGTCTTAGACTCTGTCTTGTTGCAGCAAGACAGATAGGAAGTACTTCAGGCCTGTCTTTCTGAAATGTGCCTGCCTTTTTAGTCTTACTATGCTTAATCACCAGCAGAGAGCAACCTGTTGTGAAGAACAGCCTTGCACAAATATAGTAGTCTGCTCACAAAGCAGCACAGCTGAACCACCATTAATTATGGCCCTTGTGGTAAAAAATCTGAGAAGCATATTTCAGAGCTGGCATAGCAATGGCCTTTGAATTATAAACTTGGATCCTGTTCTAGTAGCCAAGTGTTCTCCCTGTAATAAAATCTGTGCTGATGCTATTTCTCCTTCCATTCCCAGGGTTTTTCAGCCTTCCTAATCCCACAACCCTACTCCCAAACTCAAAACTATTCTTTCACCATTTTAAAACCTGACACCAACAGATTACTCAATACTTCTTCAAAACACTAACTTAACTTTCTTCTAGTTACATTGGATTTGAAAATATCCTGAATGTCAGATAGTTCTTATACTAAAAGATCCTTTTAGGCTTTCTTCATGAATTCAAAGCTCACGTGAAATTATTCAATGGACCAGGAATAAATGATTGAATGATTATTAGAGGTATCAACATGTTTTACCTCTATTCTATAATCATTGTTTTTCACTCAAACCATTATATCTCCTCTCCCCTCCCTACTCTGCCCACCTACATACAAAATATTTACTATAGAATCCAAAACAGATGTTGCAAATACAATCTTGCCTCATATCATAACCTTTTGGTCGCTGACCAATAAATGAGTAACATACATTACCATGACACTGTAGCCACATTAGTACCAATATATCACTCATGTGCTTGTGGTCAGACTGCTTATAAACACACCTAAGGAGCCACTAGTTCTATAAAAGTATAGCACAAGGCTGAAGATGTAGCTCAGAAGTTAAGTATGTGCAAGGTGCTAGGTTCAATCCCCAGCAGAAATAAAAGTATAAAAACTATAGCACATACAATTGTATACTGTACATAATATTGATGATAAACAACTAGGTTACTGGTTTATTATTTACTATCGTATATTTTTATTGTTTTCCAAAGTATTGTTTTAATAAGTTCTACTTATTAAAAAATCACTGCACAACAGTATGCTACATCATTACAGCAGCACCCTCATTCATATTGTGCTTACCATATTTGCTGATTGCATCCTGAGGCACCTTGAATAATGGACCCAAACCACCTAGATTTAGGTTAAGAATACTCCACGATGTTTTCACAATAACAAAGTCACCTAATAACACATTTCTCAGAATGTAGCTCTATATGATTTGTTTCCTAAACAAAGGAGACAAATAATCAGGAATAGATTTGCCAAGTGTTCCTACTCATGGAGACCAGAGAAAAGAGTGTAAGATGGAGATGAAGGTAAGGCAGCACTACGTAGCAGTTTTAAGATTTTAATGCAGGAATCATTCATCCTTGCTAGATTACAGAACCACGAATAAGTCACACTATCACAACTGATATTAAGTGATATGTCAGCAAAAATTTCTGTCATATTTTAATTAACAAAACAGAGATTTAGCAATTTTCACCAGAAACTATGAAAAAAATTAAAAGATTTAGCATGAATACTTAGTGTTCATGTCATTTCAGGGGAAGTCTTCCTTGCTCCATTGGCTCTAGAATAGTAAGAAAAACTAAGTCTGTAACCAGTATTAGATTCAATAAATATTGGCACATCTAACAAATTAAAACACTACATTACTGTGTCAAGCTGTAGAAGTCACAGAAATATAAAATGAAGCAAACCTAAAGTCCTCATCCATATTTATCACAAAACTTTATGTAGTATAAAATGCTACATATATTGTGTCTAAATAGTCTTATTTAGCACCAGATTTAAGTCATATAAGTAAGGTGTCCTTCCATTAAAAATAGGTGGATTTGATACATTGTCACTAGAAGAACACACTACCACAAAATACTACTACGAATATTTAGTCCCTATGTTGGAGTCTTATGAAATAATCTGAAGTTACAGCTAGAAGCAGAAACAACTATGAATTATTTTACATTTCCTACATCTTATACTACTTCATAAGAAATCTGTTTTTCTCTATTTTATAACACCTTTATAAGAGAAGTGAGGAAGCACACCCTCTCAAAGATCCAAAAAGAATGATAGACTATGTTCTCATCCTGGATACCTAAGGAAAAGGACCGGCCACATCAAAGGAGAAAATCAATTAGTATACACAGAAGCTTACCACAAACAACTCTCTTTTGGCTTCCTCCATCCCAAGTTACCAGTTCTACTAGGCTTTTTATTCAATTTAAGAGAGACAAGACCATCAATAAGTGAGTAAATAATTAAGTAAGCTGGTGTAGGTAATATTGGTGTAGGTAATAATTTAATGGTGTATAGAAAATAAAATGCCTCATTTTAAAATTTTTAAATAATTTTCAAAGTTTTAAACCTTTCAATTTGTTGACTTAAATGTAACAATTATAGCCTAGAGTATCTCCTCAGATTTTTTCCCAAGAATTTTCCTAAAATACTGGTATTGTTATATAGTCCATTTTAATATAACCACATAATAAACATATACTTCACTAAATTTCCTTAGCATAAAAACATGGCTCAAATAATCATCAGTTTTAAGACTCAATAGAATTATTGCTTTACAGGACTAAAGAAAAAAATGAAGCCAAAGAAAATTCAAATGAATACACGTTTAATTCATGCAGTTACATAAAAAAGAAGGGATATACAAAACAGTAATTACAGACTCTAATGAAAAGAAAAAATTGCCAGTTATAAATACATATAATTGTATTAATCTGTTAATTTAAATTTTATGTATAAAATGCTTAAATGCTTTGAAATATCCAAAATATGTATTAATTCTGAAAATAACATTTGCACGTATATAACATTTAACTAAAATTTTCATTAACTTACAAAGAAATACCATTAATTTATAGTCATTTTCAATCTAATTTATAAAGTGCTAATTTCAATAAAACACACCAAAATAATATTTCATTTAACATTCCATCTTTCAACTCTTCATAATCTTCACTGCAAATTAGACCCAAGGTAGGCTAATCCTAAATAAAAAGTGATAAAATTAAACTATATTAAAATTAAGTATCATGTCAGTAGTTACTAAAATCTATAACATTCTTTTTTATTTGTTTTAATGTGAAAAATAAAATAAAGCAATTGCAAAATAGGCTAGTAGGACATTTACAATAATTAATGCATTGCATATTGTCTTTGTAGTAGTTATTCAGAGGACAAGATGTAGACATGATAACTTTCTAAACAATATTAGTACAAACCTTTCTTCTCAATGAACTAAAAGAAAGTAACTGTATACCCATCCTATCTTGTGTATACATATATATTTTATCACAACAAAACAGTATTTTATGTATACTTTTGCAAAGTTAGTAACATGTGACCCAAGGTTTCCTAGTGACTAATAGCTGACTTTAACCAGACAGGATGTTTATCTCAGGACTGAGGTAGCTTGTTTGCTTTAGGCACTAAGGTCTAGTCCTGCCTACACACATTTTGTTGATTTCCTAGCTTCCAGAGCTCCCAATATATCCACAATTTTTTTGTTTTGTTTTGTCAGAGATGTGTGTTCCATTGCAGTTAGAGAAGCTGTATTTGGAGAAATCTTTAAAGGACTTTTTCATACTTGATGCCAGTTCAAAGATTGTAGGTACTTGAATCTAGCAAAATAACACAATACAGACCAATAGTCCATAATAGTAGTGCATTATCAACACATCTAGCAATTGTCAGAAGTTGTTAACTTGAGTCTTTTACAGCTCAGCATATTAACTAGCTTTATCTTTTATACCTTGGTTACACTTTTTGGCTGGATGGTTAAGACCAAGTTAAAGCAAGACCTATATAACTAAGAATGTAACTTTTGCCATCTGACAAGGTCAGTCAAATTCCCTCAAGATTTACCCTACAACCATGTACAGCAGTTTGTAGATCTTTTGTCAGTGTCAGCCATCTGGATGAGTCATGGCCCTTGCTTGACCAATTTGCTCTCTGTGAAGGCCTGAGAGAATTTTTTCTCTTTAGGTGACTCTCCTTGGGCACACCACACATTGTCAATCACTTTCCTCTGTGGTCCTATAATCTCCTTCATCAGAAAATTTGGGACACCACTTAGTTACAAGATGTCACAGCAAAGGTTCTCTTATGTCCTGAGTCCTCACCGATTTTGGAGGGCTAGGGCCAAAATATTGGCTAACCTTTTAGCCCATGTATTTCTCTAATTTTTGGTCTGAAAACTTTAGTTGTAAAAACTATAACATTCTAAGACCAAAAAGATACTCCCTATACATATCGTTTTAGCAACTTCTCCTTTCTATAGGTGATCATAGAAGTGTCTGATGAATTCACTGTGTAGTTCATATTTTGCTCTCCATTCCAACTCCTGCTAACACCCTTCATGACTTCAACAGTTTCATATATAAAAACTATGTCACAGTCTAGCATCACAGGCTTTTAACTCCAGGCCATGGCAGCGATTCACAAATGAGCCCATTATTTAGACAATGTCAACATGTATGTTTCAGTCCTAGGTACTAGGACTCTTACAATGGTCCTGACTGACGTACTTTTATCTTTCTACTTCTTGTACCCCTTTGCTCTCCCCTAGCAAGGTCTTTGTCCCTTGAACTGCCAACTCCTTGATCATCTGTAAGCTCCATTTGGCTCCTTCCTCAGCCCCTCAGCCATCTATTTTTATGCCTGTTTAAGCCCTTAGAAACTCAGATACTGAAACTAAAAATTCTTCTTACTTGACATTGTCTGACATGCTGTACTCAATCCTCTGCTCCATCTCTGTCCTCACATTGACATTTTTATCTGCAACTACTGTTAGAACCATAATATAACCATTAAGAAGGCTATATTGGGGCCAGGGGGATAGCTCAGTGGAATAAGCGCTTCCCTGGCAAGCGCAAGGGCCTGAGTTCAATCCCTGGTTCCGGAAAAAAAAAAAAAAAAGAAGGCTATCTGTATCACACAAGACCAAATACAATACTTCTAACTGCTTGCTCAGAATTGGGTCTCTCAACATGAAAAAAATAAAACTCAATATGTTCGTCAAATGAGTTCTTCCTCCTGACTTTCATATTTCTTATTTACTCATTCTCAAATCTTGGTACCTGCTTTCTGATCCCCACCTCTAACCATATGTCACCTCTCTGCCATTTCTGTCATGTTCATTTAAATACATTTCATGTTTCACTTGGACTGCTATTACAGACCCCTAAGTTTTTCAACTACAAATTTACCTCCTTTAAAACCCTTTCCATGAAAGGGATCAAACTCTGAGAGCAGGTTTCAAATGTTTCAAATGTTTAAATGTTTAAAATGTTTCATATATTGATGGAGAATATTTGTGCAGATTCTGATATTTATATAATGTTTCAGACAAAATACATAACAAAAATCAAGTAACAGGAAAGTATCAGCATATCCAGAGAGATAGCCTGAAAAATAGCTGTCTTATATTCTTCAAAAATGTGAATTTAATGAAAACAAAGAAATGTTAAAGCATTGTTACAAATTGAAGAAGAACAAAACAGAGACATGAAAATTTAATGCAATCAATGATCCTGATACCTGAAAAAATTCCCATTAAAGCCAATATCTGGACAATGGGGGATAGAATAAAAAGTATTATTTCAAAAGTTAAACTTCAGGCTGGGGAGATATCTTGGTGGTCTAAGCACCTGCCTGGCAAGCACAATGACCCGAGTTCAATCTCTTTTAGTGCATGCCATGCTGGCCCCATGCACCAAGTCGGACACCCAAACCTGGCATGGTGGCACAGACCTGTAATCCCAGCAGTAGGGAGGCCTCAACAAGAGGATCACTGTAAGTCTGAGCTGTGTAATGAGACCCTGTGGCAAACAAACAAACATAAGATTTTAAAAAAAAATTAAAATGTTTAACTTTCTGAATTTGATAATTGTGGTATAATTATATAAAGGATGTCACTGTCATTAGGATATACATATTAAAGAAATGGAAAAGAAAATAAGAAAGCAGACTGACAAAATGTTAAAAATTGGCAAATCTGGATAATAGGGTTACTGTAGTTGTTTGTATTATTCTTGGAACTTTATATACCTTCAGAATTATTTAAAACAAAAGGTCAAGAAAATGTTCCATTTTTTAATTGTATCCTGAACAGAGTACAAATTCTTTCCCAGTGTTCAAGTGTTCAAGATTCTTTGATACCATCTGAACATTCTCTTAGATCTTTCTTTAGTTATTCTAAATAATCTTTTCTTAAACTGTACATTTCATACTTTGTTAAAATCAATAAATTTTGCTCATCTTCATGTCTAAACTATGTTACGCTCCTCACACCCCCACTTATAAAACCTTAACTTTCTTTTCTAAAGCCTATATCACTTATCTCTCCTATTAGTTTAAAAATTGTGAGAAACTGGAAATCATCTCTCTCAGACTTGAATAAAGACAGGTAATTAAGAAGCCAGGGGCACAAATGAAAGAAAGTTTAAAGTATCTTGAAGAAAATCAGAACTCAGGAGTATTATATTAAATCATATATCCAAAAAGATTCATTGAAGTTATAAAATTTAGTAAGCTGAGATAAAATATGTAAACAAGGAACAGGATGAACAATTGCTCCTAGGATAACAAAAGAGACACATGAGAAATACACAAAAAATTCAGCTAGAGAAGCAGAACAAGTGCTTATTATGTGTCAAACGTTGGATTAAGGAACAAAATAGAATGGTACCACTCAAGGTTATATACTAAAATTTGGAGAAGGTAAGATATAAAAGGGAAGGGGAAAAATCTATACAATTACTATCAAATAGATTCTTACCAGAAGATGATAATGAAAATTCATGTTGTGTAATTTGAGTCTAGAAAAACATAAAATGGAAGAAAAATTCAAGATGGCCTCTAGTACTGATTTTTTATTAATAAAGGTACATTAAGAAAGTTATAACAGTTTCCAACATAATTATTAGTTTTATTAAAACTTTTTGCAATTTGAAACTTAATAAAGTTACAGTTACATAACACTACATGTGTGATAGTGCACACATGTAGTTCCAGCACTTGAGAGGCTGAGGCAGGAGGATCGACATGCATTTGAAGCCAAGTTGGGCAACATAAGCCAGGTCAAGGCCAGGCTGCACTACATAGTGAGACTTTGTCTCAAACAAATCAAATAATAATAACAACAACAATAATCTAATGCAAAATAATGTATTTCAAAGATATCTTTTGTTTATGAGAAAATTATTTCTGAAAACATATTATTTTAAATTGTTAAGTAATTATTATACAATTACTCTATGTCTAGTAGAAGCTTCTTCTTCTTTTTTTTTTTTATATAGGGAAGGAGCTACAGGGTATTCAAGATCTCACTACTAGATCAGACTCGTAGCAATTCTCCTGTTTACAGCCTCCCAAGAGCTGGGATTACAGGTGTGCACCACCACGCTCAGTCTAAATCACTGTCTCAGCATGCCCCAGGGGTGGGGTCGGCATGGCAGGCCTGAGATAGAACCCCCAGCCCCTGTGTCTGCTTGCAGAGCCTTAATCTGCTGAGCTATTTGGCCAGCCCTAGTAAAGAAGCCTTCTTGCTGAGGTAGAAAATATCTCATGATGTTCAAGATTCTGTAATGGCAGGAATAACATTTTGAATTATGTCCAGATATTTTTTGCATACTGCTCTGCCTAAATATCTATTTCTTTTAAGAAATCTCTGATTACTTCCCTTTTTCCTAATATCCCCCATTCTCCTTTTTAATTGGTTAAGTAAATCATCACAAATCTAAGCATTGATTTACCTCATTCTTGCAAACAATTTATGCTATTATTGATGCAATAGTACAGGAACATTAGCATTTTTGGTGTTATTTATAAAACAGAATTCTATTTAATTTCTCATTTATGAAAATATTTTTCACAGACTAAATACCACAAGTTTAATAACTGTTAAACAGAAACTGTCATCAAGACAGCATACTGAGCACCAAGAAGTAGCATGCATATTCAGACATGTGCCTGAGGGGAAAAAGGTAACTATTTTGATTCAGCAATTTATGACATTAGGAACCAGGGATCTAGTCCAGCTGCACAGTGCCTCCTTGGCAAGTATGAGGTCATGAGTTCAGTTCCTGGTACCAAAAAAATTAAATTATGACCTTAGTAGTTACTTTAATTTCATTCAACTTCATATTTTGAGAATCCAAACTTTTAATTTTTTAAATACATATAGCAGATTATATCTAATTTGCCTTGACAAAAATATGAAATCAACATTGACACAGTGCTAGAACACTAATTAATTCATGAGTTGTTTTCCAGACATAAAATGATATCATCAAGCCCATAATACAAAGACAATTTTTGTTAAATGTATTAAATTTATTAAATTGTACTGTAGCACCCATGAAAAGGATATAACTGCAAGAAGTTATATATAATGTGTAACTTTATATTGCAGTTTAAATGTTTGTCTTCACTGATATGGATGGGTTTTGCAATCTGAATTTAAAAGTTCACATTAAAGTTCACTTTTTTATGTATTTGGTACAGGGTCTCAGTACACAGCTTGGCCTCATTGTATCCTTCCTCTTTTCAGCCTCGCCAGCACTAGGATTACAGACATGCATCATCAAGCCCAGGGGTAGGATCGGTGCAGCATGTGGCGCCAAGGATCAAACCCTGGTCCCTGTGCTTGCCTAAGCTGGCACTTAGTCCACTGAGCTATTTCCCCAGCCCCTAAAGTTCACATTTAACAGACAAGTATGTTCACTTCCATCCACAAATTCTAGCCACAAGCACCTCCTACACTCATATCTACCAGAACCCACTCTACACTCATTGCTTAAAAATGTCTTACACTTCTAATTATAATGACTAGTGGTTATCTAGTAATCTCATTTCTATAGTTCCATACATTAAATAAAACAATTAGGAAAACTACTAGCCTAATGTGAGTCAATGTTATCTAAACTGTTAATAGAAGTCAGTTTTCATTAATACAATGAAAACTGTGTTAACTTACTTTCATTAGATGATCTTTGGCATTTAAGCCTAAGTCTATATTTTTCATTTTCTTCAAGCATTCTAGAAATGTCTTTGTATACATTATTCCATACTGAAACCTTAAAAAAATAAACACAGTTAAGGGACACCAACAAGAAAAGTAGGAATGTATTTTTTAAACAATTTTATTGAGAAAGAAGTAGCAATGAGACAGTTTCAAAACAGGTTAGTAGGACAGTTACAATAATTAATAAATTGCATATTGTTGTCTTTGTAGTAGTTATTCATAGTTCAAGATGTAGACATGATATCTTGTCTAAACACTATTAGTTCAAAACTTATTTCTCATTGAACTAAGAGAAAGTAGCTGCATATCTATATTTCACTATAAAATGGTCCTTTATTTATATCCCCATTTTTTGTTTAGTTTTGTCAGAGATGTGTATTCCATTGCCATTCAAGTAATGCATTTTGACTGATACTACTGGGAGTGGCCCAACTGTGTTACATGTCAATCATTATAAAGAAAACTAGCATACAGAGAACTAAAATTCTCCATAACTGAACTCTCTGATCTCTTTTCTAACTTCCTAGAATTTCTTCCTTGTAGTATTTAAATTAATTGCAGTGGATGAAGCTTCTTTCTATAAGTCTATAAATCTAACTAAATGGATCCAATACATTCAATTTTTCAAAAGTAATAAAAATAGTGACTTTCTAGTCTATGTCTAAACTATTGGACAGTGATTTTGATATTTTAATGTATTTTATTTTAGTAAAGAATTAAAGATTTTTCCCAGACAAACCAATGGAAAATTCCTATAGAGCATTATTATAGTAGAACAGATAGAATGAAAACTATGAAATCAAACTGCCACTTACCAATTGCTTGACACTAGGTGTCTAAATCACACAGAGGAGTATCTCCACACAATGAATCATTATCAATAATGAAAAATACATTTGTAAGGCACTTACCCTAGTGTCTGCCACAAAACAGTTCAAAGTAAACATTGGCTTTTGCTCTTTTCATCTCACTCAAAATAAGTAAAATATTTCTTGGAAGAACTATTTCTTAGTACAATGAGATAAGATGCCCTTTCAAAACCATGCAGTCATAGGTGACTTCTTGAAGGTGGCTGGATCTAGGGTGTGTCATACCGGGATTAAAGATGTGACACTGGGATAAATTATGTGATACTAAGATCAAGGAAGGTCCACTCTGGGTAGGGGTAGCAACACTCAAAAGGCAGGTTGCCTGGAATAAAAGGGAGGGACAGACTACCACTGCCACTGGTGCTGTGGGTGCTGCAGCTGGTGCTGTTGTTTGCTGCCTGCTGTTTGCTGTCTGTGGCCTTCTGCCTGCTCTCCTTTGCCCTGGACTGCTGCCCCTCTGCCATGCCACTCTCCCTTGGAGCCAGCCAACTAGACTGAAACCTCTACAAACTGAACTAAAATAAACCTTTTCTCCTTTAACTATAGATGTTGCATATTTTATCTTAGCAAAGAGAAAAGTAACTAAGACAAAGCCTTACCCAGCTTTAATGCTATTTTATACTACATATGGATTATATATCAAACAAACTCAAAGCTCAGACACATTACAGTTGTATGTGCCATAATCAATCAATAATTACCTTAAACTAAAATAGCTATCAGAGATCAGTAGAGCATCTCATTCTGTTTAAAATACTCAAGTTACCATGCTATCTGGAAAACCAATGCTGAGAACAGTTTAACAGTAAAGGTTGATCCTTGTCAGCTTTCTTGCTAAAAACTTAATGTGCATTCCTTGTCTTCGAAAAGAACAATATAGTACCAATATACATCTATGATTTTCTTTTCATACTAACTCATCTATCAGTTTGTCATATCTTATAAACCATAGATTATTCTTTGAAAAATCTCTCAGTGGATTATATCTTGATTAAAATGTATTTTATACCCTCAAATATTAGAAGAGCTGCTCCTTTTGCTTAACCAATATTTCCAAGCACATTTCTATTTCTCTAAATTTTATTTTCTCATTTCAGAAAATTAAATTATTCAAAAGATGTAACTATCTTTATTGTCTTGAATATCTTCACATATTTTATTCAAAGAAGATTATCTAAAATTTAAATATTTCTTATTCCCCTTTGCAATAACATACCTTTTTTCCTTTTTTCATTATTTTGCAAGCTTTGTGTAATTGTACAGGAAAGTCAAATACATTATCTGCATTCTTCTGGATTAAATCTAATTATGAAAAAAGAGTAAAATGGTAAGAGATGGAAATGAACACATATTTTAAAGAATTCACTATTCTGAGAATAAAGACCACAGAAATTTCTCTTAATCTATGTTTGGGGATTTTCTGTTTGTTGGTATATTTCTAATCACTAGGGAATACTACTTTACCATTTAGTTAATTACATGATGAAACCAATCATGAAAACTAGAATTCAATAAACTTGCAAGCAGCAAGAAAAGCTTCCACCTAGTTTCAATCTCTTTTCTTTAGATAGTGAGTCCCAAAAGAATCAAAAAGAAAATATCAATATCAGAAACTACATCTTGTCACATTGTTTTGCTCCAGTCTCCATTCTACTCAATTCAGCTAAGAATATACATTATGCTTCCAATAGCATAAAACCCCTTGTAATTTCTCCAGTATGTCTCATTCTTACCCTTTCTAGGCTATGCACATGCTTCTCTATTGGGCTAAAGCAGTACACAGAAAACACACACACCTTCCAGGCAAATTTATACTTGTTCTTCAACATTCAATTCATATGCCACATCCTCTCCATGGCTTTCCCTCAAGAACATACACACAGCCTTACATACAGCACTCTTTCCTATAAATCCTGATCATAGCATTTAGCATACTTTAATATCATGTATTTATAACGTACTTCCTCTACTAGGCACTGAACTCCTGGAGGTCAATGGCCATGTGTGTCTTACTCATCATTTTATCCAGTCACACAGTAATACAAATAGATCCTTGATTTATGATGAGGTTATGATTCTAAAAAATTACTGTAAATTGAAAACATACTAAGTCAAAAATGCATTAAATAATCTAAATGGTCGACCATCATAATTTAGACCAGTCTCCCTTAAACATGCTCAGCCTCAGCATCTCATGTATACACATAGATGATGTTCTGTCAACATAAAAGAATGGTAAAACACAAAATTTTATTAACACTGGCAATGATGTAAAGAATTGAGTATCTGTTGTTTACACTTGTGATCATGTGGCCCGCTGGAGGTGTAGCTCTCTGCCAATGCCCCATATTATAAGGAGTATCCTATCACATATCATCAACACTACCATAATAGATGAAAAAGTGGCTAGGTTAGTCATAAGTTGGTGGAAGTTTTCCAAAGCAAATAAACTTCCTGGCTCCATTCACTAAGCCATACTGCCTTCCTAAATGTTAAAGCTGTTAGAAGAAAACCTAAGCGCTCTGCATCAGGACACAAAATTATAAACACTGAGCATGTGCTCCCTTTATATTTACTTTCCTTTTCTAACATTCACCCTACCTTAAACCATCCCCTCTTCATTCCTGCCCTGCTACCACTCCATAATACCTGGTCTTCTTCATCTATTCAATGGTTAGATTTCCAGAAAGCTTTCTGTGATCTCACAAAGCAACATACATTCAGTTACTATAGTATGTATAATATTACTTACCTGAGGTAGTGTATTTACCATTCACTAACATCCAATTTCTAATTCCGTTGATAGTAGGCCTACACCTCCTATGTTATTGACATTAGGTACATACCCTAGATATTTTATTTTTCAATAAACTAGAATATGCTCTAAAATGGCATTTCCCAATCTGTGAGATGCATGTCACTTGATTCTGGGCAGAACCCAGATACAGCACTAAGCTCACCTAGCATGATGGCACTCTTATAATTCCACCTAATTAAGAGGCTGAGACATAAAGATTGAAAGTTCAAGAATGGCCTGGACAAGTTAAGAAAGTCATTGTTTTTCCATTTAAAAAAATCTCCTAATTATATCAAGGAGGAAGTCTGAGTTTGGCACTAGTATGTCATTTAGATGTCTCTAAGACTTGCTCATTTCCCTTTATGACCACAGACAACCTTCAGCAGACAGCCTATTTAACTAGAATTTAATAATAGTACTTTTCCTTTATTAGATTTTTTAAATGAATTTCTATTTATGGCAAACAGTACCAGTTTTCCACTGAGGTAATGATGCAAAGTGTTCTAAAATAAATTTAATAGAGAGGGGAAAGTACATATTTAAATAAAGTAAATAACAGTACAGATGATATTTAGACATGGCAAAAAACAGTAACTCGGTTTTGGAAAACTCTTCACACTGCCATATTTATCCTTCCCCCTGTATACCTACAAACTTCAGAGAACTACAGTTGCATTGTTCTCAAATATTTCCTGGTAAGTCTTACCTAAGCTATATCTATACTCTTTAAGGTTGGGTTAGGAATAATTGGCTCTATCTTCAATAATTGGAAATATAAAATATGTAAAAAAGTATAGAGGGTACGCAAAAGAAAAAACACAGTATTTCTTCCACTTATATTTTGTACTACATTGAGGCCCTCCCCAGTATAAACAATGGCCTTTGTCCTGACTTACATTTCAATTTTTTCTCTATTTCTCTTTCAGTAAATCTTGACCCAAATTGTGGTTATACATCTCCCCTAATCACTGCCCATCACTGATCTATATTCAAAATTTGCTCATTCAAGGATTCCATCATTTTTCTATTCTCTTCTATTTTTATCAGTGTCTTCTTTAGAAGCAGTTATTAATTCTTTCATTATAGTTATTCTTTTTTTACTTCAGAGATTATTTCTGATGATTTTTTCTATCCGTTTCTGCAGTTATTTCTTTATTTCAGATGTCATTCAGAGATTTCTTTATTTCATAGGTTATTCTTGATCTGATTTCCTCTATACCTTTCTGCAGTTGTTTCTTTACTTCAGAGGCTATTAATTCAGAGACTTCAGGTGTATGATTCCCAGTTTCTTCTATTCTAGTGTCTCCTGCATTTGTTCTGGGTGGGCTCGGGGCCTGAGACTGCATTTTGCTCCTTCTCTTTGTCATTTTGTATTGCAATGACCTCTGATCTTTGGTGTAGAGCTTTGGTGCAGTTATAATCTTAGCAACTATGAAAATTCTTACCCAAGAGAGATTATATGGTTAAGGCAATTGTCCTGAGGATCTCCATCAGGTTTTTGAAACTAGCAGTTAATTGGTAGGATTCTCACCCTCACTAACTATAAATGCTGGTATCTGTGAACTAAGCAACTGTACCAAGGATAGCAAAGTGTAATGCTAGGGCCATGCTTGGAATGCCTGTCAATCTGGTCTTCTAAATGCATACTGCTTCTAATGTCATCAATTACTACTGTACTCTCTCAAGTAAATATTTGTTTAAAAAATAAAAGGTAATAAAAGAAAACAAGAGACAGGAAAAAATGTCATAGTACTGTCCTGCTACAATGCTGTATATGGTTAGATTTCTAAATTTCTGTGTAAAAATGTGTAATTGTTTATTTTTTTCACATTCAATAAAGAATCAAAGTTTAGCATATCAATGATTTTTGGAAAATACCTGCTCCATGTTGTCTTTAGATATCCAGACAGATAGTTAAGCTCAACAGCCTATGTTGTAGGGTAATGATATCATTAAGCTTCTCTTCTGGAGGGTCAACAACTTAAGTTTGCAGACTAAAACATTAGAGAAAAAGAAGTGCCACAAGGATAGCCAATATTTTGGCCTTAGTCCTCCAAGGTCAATGGGGACTCAGGACACAAGAGAATCTGTACTGTAACATCTTGTAACTCAATGTTGTCCGAAATTTTCTGTTCAAGGAGATTATGGGGCCACAAAGGAAAGTGATCAATGATGTAGAGTGTGCCAAAGGAGAATCACCTAGAGAGAAAACATTCTCTCAGGCTTTCACAGAGAGCAAATTGGTCAAGCAATGGCCGTGACTCATCCAGATGGCTAACACTGACAAAAAATCTACAAACTGCTGTACATGGTTTCAGGGTAAATCCTGAGGGAGATTCGACTGATCTTAAACATCCACCAGAAAAGTATAAACATGAGGTATAAAAAAAGCCATAGTAATATGCTTAACTGTAAAAGGCTCAAGTCAACAATGTCTGACATTGCCAGTCTGGCAGATAACCCACTACTATCATGGTCTACTGGACTATATTGGATTATTTTGCTGAATTCATATACCCACAATATTTGAATGGCAAAAGAATACCCATCTCTGACAAAAACTAAACAAAAAGGGGGAGATAAATGAAGGACCATATATATCTGTATATACAAATTAGGATAGATACACAGCTACTTTCTCCTAGTTCAATGAGAAGAAAGATTTGTACTAATAGTGTTTATACAAGATGTCATGTCTGTATCCTGTACTGTGAACAACTACTATGAAGACAACAATATGCAATGTATTAATTATTGTAACTGTCCTACTAACCTGTTTTGAAACTTTCTCATTGCTATTTCTTTATTAATAAAATTAATTTTAAAAAATTTGTTCATGTGCTTTTCTCACATGTCATTTGCTCCTATCTCAACACCATGTGAAAATCTTATGAAGCTTCTGCCATCATGGAGCTTTGCTTGATTCCCTCATCCTCAAACTATTTGCAACCTCCCAAGCATTTATTTGTACAGTGTCCCAATAATATCTATTATCCTCTATTATTTGTAAATTATGACCACATGTTCTAAGCTCTGTAATGGTTGGAAGTGACTACTGGTCTTGTTAGCAATGTTAGAAGAGCTGCTTAATCTTCCCTTGGATCTCTAAACTCCACACATCTTAAAAACACAAGTTTATCTTCCAGAGTGCACCAATAACTGATAACTTCATTTCACCATTCAAAAATCTTTGGTGATTACAGAATGACAAGCAATCCACAATCTGATCCAAAACATGTTTCATTCATCCAATAAAGTTTAATATATGTCTACTATGTGGTGGATGCTAGGCTAATACCTTCTTCCCTTCAAGTTATTTCTCCTTAATGTGCTGGATATTTAGCTTTATAACAAACACTATGCTATGCACTGTGCCCATATTCCTCCATTTAACCTTTATGTTATCCATTTAAGACAGGAAATGCTATTGTCCTTTTACAGACAAGGAAATGAAGGATCATACAGAAGTTAAACAACATGGCCAGTATTACACTGCTGATAAGATAATAGACAAGATTATTTATCTGACTTCAAAGCCAATGCTCTTGATTTTTACTATCCACTAGAAATTTATTTATTCATATTCCCCTTGATTTCCTGCCTCTGTGCCTCACCTTTCTCTCAACTTATCAAAGCCTATCTCTCTCTAATAACACACTAACTAGTTTATATCCTCATACTTCATGTATAAATTCCTTGAGTGGAAATTATTTACCTGATACACTGTGTAACTAGCATCAGACCTGATGGCCAGTATATTAGATGTTAAATAAGTTTTGTCACTAGGACCTGACCTAGTAGCTGCAGTGTAGTACATGTTAACTAAATGTTGAATGAATAATGAATTTACCATTGCCTTTAGAAAATAAAATATAAGTACTTATTACCTACTTAATGAATGAAAACTTTTTAAGAAATTAAATACTGACAGCTGGGTGTAGTGGCACATGCCTGTAATCCTAGAACTCAGATGGCTGTAGGAGGGGGTCGTTGTGAGTTCAAGGCCAACCTAGACCACATAGTGAGAACCTGTCTCAAAACAAACAAGCAAATATTAAAAACTGGCTAACTTCGGGGCCAGGGAGATGGCTCAGTGTAATAAGTGCTTCCCTGGCAAGCGCAAGGGCCTGAGTTCAATCCCCGGTTCCGCAAAAAAAAAAAAAAAAAAAAAAAAACTGGCTAACTTCGAACAAGAAAAAGGAAGAAAGCACATACTAAAAAAAAGAAACAATAACACACAGGAAACTTAAAAAAAAATCATATGGTATTGTTTTGCAGACATGCAACCACTTTAGGAAATGGATAATTGCTTAAGGAAATACTGATGAGGAACAAAAAATCCTAATTATTTTCACAAAATAACTATAATTCTGATATCTAAACTAGGTAAATAAATACAAAGAAACAAAAATATAAATCATTCTCTCTCCTGAATACCAATGCAAAAATTCTAAACAATAATTAGCAAACAGAGCTCACGACTGTTTAAAAAAATACAAAAGAGGCCAGGGAGATAGCTCAGTAGGATAAGCATTTGCCTGGCAAGCGCAAGGGCCTGAGTTCAATCCCCAAATCCGTGGGAAAAAAAAATACAAAAATACAAAAGAAGCAAATAAGATTCAGTTTGCAATACAAGGTTGGTTTGATATGGGGAAATTTATTTATATCATATCACATATTAATTAATCTAAAAAAATATTATTACCTCCAGAGAGCTAAAAAAGCCTTTGACAAAATTCAACATTCTATTCATAATTTTTAAAAGGCACTGAAAAGAGAATAACAACTGAAAGATGTTTAAATATGCCAGGTATGGTGTGATATGCCTATAATCTAAGTACTCAGTAGACTAAAGCAAAAGAATTGAGGTCAGCAGCATAGTAAGTCCATGTTTCAAAACAAAGTTTATAAATGCTTTAATCTTAAAGCCAATACTCTGCTTTTGAGAAACAATGGAGACATTTCACATAACAGAACGAACAAAACAAGGATGCTCACTATCTACTATTTGACCTATACTTAAGGGAGTAGCCAATGTAATTTTAAAACAAAGAAAGACCTATTGCAGGCAAAAAATGCATAAAAATCAAATTGTTTCTACATACATTCCTGAAAAATATATGTATCTGAAAAGTCATGGGAATAAATTATAAAACTTGCTCTAATAAAACCATTTAGTGAATTAACAGGATCTAAAATTAACACACAAAAATCAACAGGGTAAGTGTAAAACAGTCCAAAAACCTACATTATGCATGATTCCATTTATATATCTGAAATATGCAAATTATGGAGACAAAGATTAGTGCTTGTTTCTGGCTGAGTTGGTGGATAAGAGAGAATGGCAGATGACTGCTAATGAATACAGTTTCTTTCTGGGATAATGAGAATATTTTAAAATTGATTGTGGTAATGGTAAATATGTAAATTTTTATATAAAAACATTGAGATTTCTATATAAAAATCATAATGACTGAATGGTGCACTTTTAAGTACACACTGTGTACGAACTGTGAATGATAGATATATAAAGCTACTTTTTAAAAGTATAGGTGGAAGTATGGGCCCTCAGGAAAAAAAAGTTGAGATAAGGGAAATATTTTATGCCTTGACTACGATATAATGTGAATTTCAAACTTCCTGAAAGAGACTAATCCTCAAAGTAATTGATTTTAAAAATCAATATACTTCATATACACAAAATTTTGAGAGCACTGTGAAGAATACTCCATTGACAACAGCAAAAAAAAAATTTTTTTTTAAAGATTAGGAATGAATTTACCAATGGAAAGCCTATAGTGAGGAGAATTTTAAAATTTAATAACACTCGTGAAAGATAAAGATTCAACAGTGGAAAGACATCCTGTGTTTAGATGACTCCACAACTTCCAGATGTCATTTCTTCCTGTAAATTAATTTGTAATTTCAACAAACCTCTGTGAAATTATCACCATGGACACCAGGGCCCCCATCACTCCAGGAGACTGACGTGACTCGTACAATGCTCTTTCCTCTCCCATCTCTGGACTATCTCAACTCTGGGCCGCTCTGGCAGCACACACAATAAAGGTGCATTATCTCAACCTGCATTTCTACATCAGGCCTTCTTGCGGGCCACTCTCTGAATTAAATTTAAAGGCTGGCACAAGTCCTGACGGGAGCCTGGCTGGGCAGCTGACCTGCGACCCGGCTGAGCGCCGGCTGAGCGAGGCTGACTGGGCGCGAGGGCAGGCGCGCTGACCAGCGGGTCTGACTGACCGAAGGGCTGACTGGATGGACAGCCGTTAAGAGAACAGACTGCCCGAGGGCAGCGCCGACGGGGTAGCTGAGTGATTCACAGACCGCCGGACGGGAGACCGACTAGCCGGCCAGCCACCCGCGTGGCAGCCCAAACCGCAGGCCTAAGAGCGCGACGACGCGAGACACCTGACGGGCAAGATGGCAGCCGACGGCAGCACCGCCTCCCTGAGCCCCGCCCCCACCCTCCCTGAGCCCCGCCCGCCGCTCCACCTGCATGCGCTGCCGCACCAGGCCTGCTGCAAGTGCTGGCGTTTGACGCCCACGGCTGGGAGCGGGCGGAGGCGGGAGCCATGGGGCCCTGGGGCCGGGAGCCGCTGTGCTGCCCCCTGCTGCCCAGGACCCCCGGCTTCGCCCCAGCGTCCCGCGGCTCCTCCTGGCGGCGGCAGGCCCCAGGCCCAGGACACCTACGGCCCGGATCAGGGCGGCCACCCAGCTCCAGGACGCCACCACACTGGTGTGAGCCGAAGCGGGTCACGTAGACAAAGCGCATCCGGCCCTGTTCCTGAGCCTGGCCTGCCTGCGCCATCACACCCTCTGCCAGGAGATTGCCCGGCCCCAGCCCCCACCAGCCCGGGATGGACCACCGTGCTGTGGGGCGGGGGGGGGTTGGGACTGCACAACTGTGCGCGGGGGGCGGGGGGTACGGCACGGGACGGAGGTGGGAAGCTGTTGTGCAGGGGAGAAAAGAATGTGGCACTGAGCAGGTGGAGGGCAGAGCAGCGCCCTTATGGGCAGGGAAAGAGAACAGGCCTGGGTCGGAACTACGCAAGCCCACGTGAGGGGAAACAACAAGGGGCCTGTTATTTTCTAGGTTGGTGAGTGTAAGAAGTGGAATGAAGGGAAAAGACAAGTTAGGGAGCAAGGAGAAGGTGAGGACGTGTCAAGAGCCACGTGGGCCTGAGGCCAGCATATGAGCCAGACCTGAGTTCCTACACGGTCATCGCTGGGCCGCTGGCTCAATCGAGCAAGCTACTTTTTCTCACTGAGCCTCTTGTTTCCACAGCTGCAAGCATAAATTAAAATACTGATTATCTGACACATAGTAAGAAGTAGTTCCCTTGGACTTCACTTTCATTTTCCATTTATCCAGCACATTGTAATTTACAATTAAAACTTTACAAATAGCTTTCCTATCGAGCATCTCTGTAAATCCATGTATCATTTATGGCAGAAAAACTGGGCTTACAAAGTGTGGAGTGATAAACCTATGTTCCAGAGCCGGGGAGAATAAGCGCTTGCCTGGGAAGCACAAGGACCTGAGAGTTCAATCCCCGTTTCTACCAAAAAAATAAAAACCTATGTTCTTTGCTTATCAGTATATGTAGTGAATTGCCCAAGGATGAAACAATATGGATGAATTTTCACACATTTAGTGTACTTGAGTAACACTGAGAAATGATGTAGTGCAAAAGTACCTCACATCTTATACCTTTCCTCTTTTTCCTAATTTCAAGCATCATGAGTTAAATTTGCCCAACGTGTTTGATTTCTTTCACTCGAGTTGTATCTGTGAGGCAGTTATTGTATGAGTTTGTACATCATTTGAGTATAGCACTACTCATCCATTCCACTGGTGAACGTTTGGTCATTTCCAGTTTGGGTCCATTATTAGAAGTGCGTAGGAACACGCAGATAGCTTTTGTGGGATATTTGTTATATTGTGCATATCTTGATGTGGAATTACTTAGGGCAGTGATGGCAAACATTTTAGAGCTTTGGGTGATACAAATATGCCACTGTGGCATGCATGGTTTGCCACCAACTTAGGATATTGCTATATTCAGCTTTAGTAATTACTGAAAATCAGCTTCCAAAATGCTTGTATGACTTTACACTCCCAGTAGCAAAGTATAGGAATCACAGTTGCTTCACACATTCACCACCACTTGACATTGTCAGTCTTCTTCATTTTAGCCACTTACATAGATTGAATATTAGTATTCTCGAGTGGAATTGAAGCAGTAAGGTGTGTATGCGTTTGACAAAGACTTCTGACTTCAGGGTAGACAAGACATCCAAGGAAAAATTGATACTGTACTTCCAGTCCGGAGGCCACCTGCTGACAGCATTCCCCCTGCTTTCCATGTCCATGCCCTCCTCTTGCACAGGATAAGGATGCTTACGAAGTAAGAATCCTGGCTGAGTCACTTAATTAAACTTTTGATGCAATGTATCAACCAGTACAGGCATATTCACTGATTTATTGTAAAAAGATATTACAAAAATAAGAGATGTGCAAGGTGAGGTATGCTGTGGGAGGGCTACAATCTCTTCAGGAGCACCACCCTCAGAAATTGCTAGGTATTTAGTTATCTGAAGTTCTCAGAACCCTTTCACATTAGGGTTTCAGGAAGACTTCTCTGCATGCAGTGGTGGCAGTGTGAGCAACTGCATGGAAAAATGATTTTTTAGGAAGGGACTAATCAAATGCTAATAGACTGGGAAAGGACAGTTGGCAAGGTCTTCATTCCTGGACTCCCTGCAACATTCCTCCCTTCAGGGTATTGGGTAGGGACCCTCTGGAATGAGGAGGGTCTTCAGACCTTTCGCTGCAGTCTACAACTTTTATATATGTTTCCATTTTAATTCATTTTAAAGTATTTTGATTTTAGTTGTAATTTTTTATTAGACCTATTAGTTGTGCGTAAGTATATTGTTCAATTTCCAAATATTTAGGATCTATCTAGAATTGTGTGGGGCATTTTTTAGGGAAGGATTATTTGCTATTAATTTTTAGCTTAATTTCGTAGTGGTCAACAGAACATCCAGAGATTTTTGTTATTTTATATAGTCAATATTTATTTGGGGTTATTGACATATTAACTTTTCCCCTGCTTTTCATTCATTATTATATATTCAAGCTTTCAACTGAGATCATATCTGCTCTAACTGAAGTATTCTGTATCATAGTTTGCATCCTGAATGTGGCCAAAAGATCATACGCTAAAGGTTTGCTTGCCAGAAAGTGGTGCTATTGGGAAACAGTGAAACATTTAGGACATAGGCCCTAATGAAAGGAAAGAAAGTGACTATTTTGGGGGCATGCCCTTGAGGGGGCTATTAGGACCTCTGTCCCTTCTCACCCTCTATGCTTCCTGGCCACCATGCAAGGAGCAGCTCCATTCGACGCTGTGCTTCCCACCATGATGCTCTGCCTCAACACAGGTCCAAAGTACAGGGACAACAACCAGCCTTTATAAATTGTTTATCTCAGTTAATCATCCCAACTACAGAGAGCACACTAAGCTCTCTAAAGCTGACTAAGCTGACTAAAGACATTTGACTTTGGCATTGTTCTAAATGCCAAAGTATTTTTTTAAGCTGAGGAATGTTTTTGCTATGTCTTAACTTTAAGGTTACTACTATTTTCTTTCAGCACCTTGAAGACATCCTATTGTTTTCTGGCTTCTGGGACAGATAGCTCTTGACTTAATGTGGTTACACCCTGCTACACTTGTTGCAAATTGAAAATACCCTGAGTCAGAATGTGTGTAATAGTTTATACCTAACCAACTGAACATCATTGCTTAACAATATAGTATGCTGTGAACTATCAGTTGTTGCTCTCCATGATCTTGTGGCTGATGGAGCTACAGGTTAACTACTACAGACCATAATGTTAAGTGAAATAAATCAGAACACAATCTTAACTATCACGTGGTATCCCTTATATAAGAAACCCAAAATATAAATAAAGATAAAAAGAAATAGACAATAGGAAGTAGGGAGATAGATCTTTCTCAAATAGGAAGGGGATCAAGGGATGAAAGGAGAACAGAGGAAAAAAAAAGGATGAAGAAGGAATTAAGAGATGTTATATAGATATGCCAATTTCACACACGAAATGTAAACATTACATTCTACCAATAAGAACAGTACTAATAAGAAAATATATTGTACCATATATCACTAGCCTAAGAAAAGATTAAAATTCAAAATAGTTCCTACTGAATGCCTATTGATTTCATACCATTTAAAATTGCTGTCATGCCTTATGTTTAGATGTCCCTAAAAGCCTCATGAGATCATAGGTGGGGCTTTTCCAGAGGTGGCTGGGTCTCGCATGTGATGCTGAAACTGATACAGTACAGTGCTAGGCTGAAAAGCACTAGGATTAAAGGTGTGAGTGCTACCCCCCTCAGTAGCCTGCGTAAGATCTAAGAGATGGAAAGAGCTGAGGGTACCCCTTGTTGCTTTGCTACCTTCTGCCCACCATGAACTGTTTCTCCTCTGTGATGCCTGTCAGCCAAGCCTCCCTGTTGGAGCTTGACGATTATAGACAGAAACGTCTGCAAACTGTGAACTAAATAAACCTTTCCCCATTTAACTTTGGGTGTCTGGTATTTTGTCTCAGCAAGACAGTTGTAAAATGTTAAGTGGAAGAATTTTAATTTGGGGACCATCTGTGTTTCTTTGAGAAGTCAGTTTATCAGTCATATTATGGCCTTATTAAAAGAAATGCATTGTTTTTCCTTTGCCTGTATTTCAGATTTACTTTTTGTCCTTGCGTTTTAGCAGTTTTACTATGACAAGTCTAGATGTGATTTTCTTTTCATCAGTTGAGCTGCATGGTACTTCTCAAATTTATAACTTGATAATTTTTGGTTCGTTTTGGCTAGTTCTAGCCCATTATTTCTTCGGTTATTTCTTCTGCTACATTTTTCTCTTTTTGGAATTTCCACTATCCATATGTTACATCATTTTGTTCTGCTCTACTTATCTTTGTGGTATTCTCTTAATGCCTATGTCTGGTTGTTTTCTACCAATCTGTGAACTGGTTCACTAAACTTCAAAGCTATCTATCTAAGCCCTTCTGAAGCTTGGGTCTGGACCATCCCCCAAAGGCCCATGCACAGCTTTGTCCTAGGAGTGATGCTGTTGGAAGCTGTAGAACCTGTAGGGAGTAGAGCCTCCTGGAAGGCTTCATGTCACCACATGAAGATTTGCCCTAAAGGAGTACTGGGGAACCCTGGTTTTTCCCCCTCCTTTTTTTGTCCCAGTCTTGAGTAAGCAGCTTTGCTCTGCTATACTCTCCTTGCCAAGAAATGCTGCCTCATCACAGGCCCACAAGCCACAGAGCCAGTCAGGATGGAACCCTTCAAAGCTGTGAACTAAACAAAGGTTTGCTTTTCTCAATTAATTGCCCTAGGCTGTTTCATTAAAACAGCCAAAAGCTAAGCTAGATAAACTTCTCTATGGTTATTTTCTTTTGAAATAGGACCTATTTTGCCCTGGATGACCTTGAAATCATGATTCTCCTGCTTCAGCCTCCCAAGTGGCAAGATAACAGGCTTATGCAATTACACCCAGCTTTAAATTCTTAATTCTAGCTGTATTTTTCAATGTAACACATATATTTTCTTGGATTCTTGCTTCTATCTTGGTGAATTTTATTCTAATGATATACATGCTGATAGAAAATATCAGAGTTTTCAGTACGCTACTACCTGGGAAAAATTTGTATCCCTTGTTTATTTTGCCATTGAAATTTCAATACTAGTATGCTGGGGAATTTTTTTATCAAAC